CTCTTTTGTATGCTTGAAATGAATAGAACATAAACACCTCAACATGGCCTGTAATCCAAGACAGGCATTATTCAACTTAACTTGCAGCTACATACTGCTATTCACTATGAATCCTTTTGTCTCTGGTCAGGGAGAATACTCCTGACTTCTATACTTGTCGTACGCCCGGACAACTTATAAACCCCTCAATGTACATTGACACCGGCAGACTATGGCCTGCAGTTGTCTAAATGCATGTATTCTCCAGTTTGATCCAAACTTGGATTATTAATCTTGACAAAGCTTCCCAACCCAGTTTTCCTTGATATGGAAGTCTGGAGAGATACATACCTACAAACCGGCTCGACTTGAAGTGAGCCTGCGGGCTCCTGGTGGGCTGCCAATGCCATTGTAGGTGTTGGTAGAATGTTTGATGCACGTTGTGAGAACTCCTTTGGGAATGGTGGCAGTCCTGCGAGGGGGAAATAGCAGATGAGATATATCACGTATGTAATGATCTACTACAACTGTTACGGCTGGTTTGAAAGACCTGCCCCTCTATTGTACTACACAAGAGTTAACACAACAATTTATTTTATTGTTGTGGCAAAACTGATGATAGAGAAAACTATGTGTAGCAGTCTCTTATCAAACCTAGATCAACGTGGATTCAGCAGACTATTTGAGTGGAAATGTTGAGTAAGAGGTGTTTTTTTTTCTGTTTAAATGATTGACGTATGTACTGATGATAAATGTTTATTTATGAGATGATATTGTGGAAAAAAAATGTGACTATTGAAAGTGTCTTTCCCTTCCTTAAGAGCACAATGGTTTAAGATCACTGTCTCTTGTTTAAGATCACAAGTTGTACTGGTTGCTACTTTCTTTTCCCTATGCTTCTCAATGTCTGAATGATCTCAATGGGGGCACTTGGTTAAGATCACACTGGTTAAATGTATGGATAGATTGCTGTGTATCTGTATGGGGGATGATCAGATGAGATGATGATCTGTTGTGATGAGATGAGATGATGAGATGAGATGATGAGATGAGATGATGAGATGAGATGATGAGATGAGATGATGAGATGAGATGATGAGATGAGATGATGAGATGAGATGATGAGATGAGATGATGAAAAATTGGAATGAGGGGGGAAAGCCCCTCCTTAAATAGTCTATTTTACAACCCGGCTGACTTGTGGTTCTAGCCCTAACCAATAATCTATAAATGGCCAACTTGTGGTTCTAGCCCTAACCTATAATCTATACTAGCCCTATACAAGATTCTCAGTGTACCTACAGACAATTTGGCTAGCTTGTGGTTACCCTATGCAATGAATATTGAATATGTAAACAAACTAAGGCCAACTTGTGGTTTAAATTATGCAAATAAAATTTAAATCCCAAATAACTTTTGACTGAGTGGAGCTAGCCTAGTGGTTCCCATGAGTGACTATGGGTTAAATGACCCGTAGAGTGTGATTATGCCATAATACGCCTAAGAATATATGCCCTTCTACATATTGAACTGTGACTTTATGCAATTTGATACTTGAAACACAATTGGCATACTACAACGTTTTTGATTACTGGACACCTAGAAAATACCTCAACCAGCGGGGAAACCAGGACAAAAAAAGTGATCCTAGCCAACGCCAAGTGGGCAAAGAAAAACCTTGGCACAGTTGGAGCTGCCTAATGTTGTCCTCAGAAGTACAAGGCTGAAATACAACACTTTTGACCCACTTTTGCTCCTATCTATCCTATGTCTTCTAAATACAAATTGTCTTTACAAATCCTTTGTCATCCAACTTGGCCTGGAATCTTTCATCCACATACTTCTATGCTTACTTCTTCTTTTGCTCATTTGTTCTTAAATAAAATTGACATAGACAATTTTTCTTCCAATTCCCTCCTCAACCCTGAAACCTTTGTATAAATAGACCTTTGCGATTACCTTTTAGTGACTTATTCAGGTTGCAATTCTATTAACTGGATCCTCGCAGTAAATATTACATCCATTCAACCCAAAATCAAGGTGACCAAGTTCCTCACATTAAAACAGGACTTGATTTTGGAGTCAGTCGTAAACCTTCATATTGAACATCAACTCAAAATTCTTTCGTATTTTCAGCATCAATTGAATCACTGCTATGCAAGCCTCATGTATTATTTCATTTTTCAGTCCTTGCACACGACTCCTATGAGTTAGCTCTATAGCTCTGTATTTCTTTGGACTTCCACATCATGACAAAGCCTTTCCGCTGTCTCTATCTAAGACATCATTAACAGTTAAACTGAGTCTAGGCTGAGTAATACCAAGAATCTACCTATCCTTTTGATTATATTAACCCAAGCCTTCTGAGTTCTCATCTTTTCCTGTTGATGTTTTAAGCTAAGAACACAAACTCTCCGGGTTGTTCAATCAACTTATATTCCACCTCACTCCTATGCCAGTTAGCTCACAACCATGACCAAAAACATGCCACCATTCAAGCTTTGTCCTTTGTGGTTCAGCCCATCTTTTTTGAACATAATCTTGGGAAGCCTCAAATACACTCCTCCCACAAAGAACTTAATCTAATACTAGAATACAAACACACCTGTGCCTGCCTTATATTTACGGATTCCGCCTAAATTGTTGAATTTAGCTTCCCCTTCAATTTATTTCCCTCTCCACAGCTTAAAGGACAAGTGACTGCCCAAAACAGACCCAACTTCTGTATTGTGAATAGTTCCTACTCCAGGGCGTTTTCAATAACACGTACTTTGCTGTGACTGAATCTGAAGCTCAAGATTTTTATCTCAAATTTGGATCATGAGCAATTCAGGAACCAATATCACCCTTGCCCATTTAGTAATTGCCTCATTGAGTTTTGCCAAAGCCAGAAATATTTGATTCATTCATGGTGCTCTTCTTCATTGAGTTCTTTCCTGCTCGTGATTCAATGGCTCAACAAAGCAGAGGTCTGAGCCCTTGTTTGTAGGCAGCTCTTTCTCAGAGACATAACTAATTTTTTTGTCTATGCATTGAAGGAAACGGAATAACACCTTATGGCATAATACTCCTGGATTAAGTAAGTTATCAAAATACATAACAGAATAATTAATCTGAGAAACCCACAAAAATTAGAAAATGCTCCTCATAAAAATGTTAAAATGGCTCTAAAATTGAATCATGAACCCCCCTAATGTATACTTTTCTCTTGGTTATCCAGTTTCACTAAGCTGAGATCTTAAATGTGGCGCCAGCCACACTATTCCCGAACTTAACACAAGTCCCTCCCTGGGCCCGAAGGGCCGCCTCCCGTCAGGGAGGGACTTGCACATAATGTCGCACATCTGGGCTGAGGGCATCCAGCCAAATGGCCGGATAAATAACAAAACACCCCATTTCCCCCACAAGATGACTGTTGTTAGGGAAGCCGAGCGGGACATAGACTCGCATGATTTTTCTCATTTTTTCCATGTCTTTACTTTCCTACCACTCCTCCTCAAGCCAAAGATATTATGCTCGATCAAAAATGAAAAATACAAAATCTGATTGGACCATGACCGGATATTTCCCCTCCGATGTCTGGTCTCACGCCCTCATGACAACCATGTCATTGAGCCTCGGAGTCTCACTCTCACTCGCATTCATGCTGTCAAAGAACCTGTCAACTACGACATAACAAGTTTTCTAAATTCCGATCCGGTCATGCGAGCACGATCCGACTATCTGAACCAGAGGAAAAAATTGGCATTTATTACTATTTGCCAAGAGTTAACTCCCAAAGCATGTCCTCCTTCAAACAGATCGGAGGAGGCTCATTTTTGATGCTAAAAGATTAATTTTTTTTTTTAAACAAAAGCCAAGATGCAAGGCTCACCTCCGGTAACCTCATTTCCTTAGAAGGAATTGAGGTTTTGGAGGCAAATCACTTTGAAGTTTAAAAGTGTGAAATTTCAGCCTTAAACCTTATGACCTCAGGCCGCGAGGTCGATTTATCATGTAAGCCTCTCCTTCGGAGAGCGTCCCTTCGGGACGCGGGGTCCCTTCGGGACCCTCCGATCGAGAGGCTTTGTTAAGCTCGCACTATTCCCTAGTCTCAAATAAAATACATGACCTGGCTGAATAATCTTTGACCAGATCTATCCAAATGCAAAACAAAAAAAAGGCACATGGATAGCGCTGGCAACTCAAATCTTCTACAATGACATTTGCCGTCCCGAACGCAGTCTTCATGAGCGACGGCCGCCGAGTGTTCTTGGAGAGCGAGGCTGTCAGTTGATTTCTTCGTTGGAACCTGAGGGGAAATGTGCGTGCGACAACGACTATCGTGAAATTTCGAGATCAGGCAAACGATTTGATTTCTAAAATTTGATTCGCAATCGCACACGCAATCTGACAATCTGCATAGTTGCCGATGAGAGATTCAAATTTCAGCATTGTTGGGAGAACCAAATCGCGACCGGCGACCAAAACAAAAACGGCGTTTATCCAGCCGATACACAATCGACTGGCCCTTGAGATCGATTGGCAATCGCGTTCGAAGCCTTACAACACCTTTTTGTGGGCCTCAGCAAACACCTTCAACTTTTGGTCTCACGGACATACCGATTTATGTAAAAAACGTGCCTGCCACAATGTTTTTTTCTATTGGAGGTACAATTTTAAAATTATTGTTATCCACTTTCTGGCTGAGGTCAGATCACCGCCGATTGCCTGTGAACTTGTTGAAGAGATGAGTTTAATTCTCAACTGACTGTCCGACCCGTTGATTCCCCCAATTGACTTGAGTAGACTGCAGCAACAGCGCCCTTCATATTGATCTTGACAGAGAGCACAAAATCATTTCAAAATTTTCAAAGCTTCCTCTTGAGAGACTTATTGCATGCATGTTATTCTTGCACGATTGCCCAGTCACGCCCATTCGGCGTCTGTATATCCTTACGTTGTGAACAATCACACAAGTCTGCGGCCATTGTGTGCTATTGTGTGCCCAACTGTTTCGAGTGGGCCGTGTTGCACCCGTACGCCGCTCGAGATTTTGATTGCTTTGCTACTACATAGAGGCAGAGATTGACTTGATCTACACATATTCCCGACCGCTTGTCTGTTTAGACTTAGAGTACGCATCCTTCTTTTCCTGCTCGATCTTCCAAGGATTCCTTCAACGTGGCAATGAAAGAGCCTCCGAATTGGGTCCAACTCAAGGAGCACCTTGACTCCAAATACTACATCCACGCAAGCGATGGAGGCAAGCGGTTCATGTGGATTGTAGTCGGAATTTACCCTATTGTGACAGGTCTGCACATAGCTGGCGCACTCAAGCGAATCCAACGATCCGGCTTTTGGTTCGCTCGGCTTGATTCGGAGGGTTATATCAACGAAAATCGCCATGTGGTGGTTCACTTCCTGTCTGCTTTCAAGACCATCGGTATGTCGAACATATCTTTTACTCCTGCTCTCCAGAAAAGCCTTCTCACTTTTCAAACAGTTGCCTTGATCGCTCTGGTCTTCATGCAGCACGACATTCGCACCCATATTCATGCTTATTGCGTAATCATGCAAGCTGTGGGCATAGTTGTGATGTACATTAACAATTGGCACCGAAGTTGGTCACCTGATTGGTTTTTCTGTTTGGGTTGTTGCTTAAAATTGATGGGTTTTGTTGAAATTTGCTGGTATATCGCTTTCATTCGTTTAGCATGGACTTCGATTTACTCCATGCCTCCGACGAGCTTATACCTGAAGTTGAACCAAAGACGAGGGAAACACGTGTTCAACCAGAGTGATCGGGCTTTTCCTCCTTGGCTATTCAACTTGGGCCTTGTCGGTGGATCTCTATACGGAATACTTCTCACGATACCCACTGTTATTATAATGTGTATTTCGATCAATCGCGCCAACTCTCTTTACGTCGTTCTTTCCAATCTTCTGGATGATAACATTGCCCTTTCTCAAGATCCAACACCAGAATCCAAGATCCTCATGATGCAAAATGCTGCTGCCGTACTCAGCGGCGTCGAGCGTTTGACCTACGAATCCATGCGTATTTATCGGGCGTTTGAGATTCAACTTACCGGTTTGGTCGTCGGAGCTCTCATCAGCCTTGCTCTTTATTGGTGGTCACTGCATGCAATCATGCGCTGTTTGAACGCACAACTGACAACTTTTCGCCGATGTCTCCAAAACCGCGACGACGCTATACAGCTGGGGATGATCTCGAGGTGCCAAGGCGCGACTTTGCTCAATAGAACAAACGAAGATTTACCGGAAGTGAAAACCAAGGAGCTAGACCACAAGCAAGCACCCTTATCCGGTGGCGCGAGCCAAGTAAGCCGAGCTAGCGGCTATAATTGGAAATCGTGGTTTCCGAGCTTGAAGAGTGATAACATTGTCGTAGATCATGCACTATGGAAATCTAACTTCATGCGTCCAATCAAAGCCGAGGGAATGAGCTACAAGGCTCGCCTACGTGCTGAATTTTCGGTACTTCAGCGTTGCAAGACTAATCTCGTCTGGCAAGCCGTATTCATATCGATGTTGTGTTTTTCTTACGCTGCCATGGCAATTACACTAGGTAAGTGAACCGGCACGTCCCAAAATAAAAACACACAACTGGTCTAATCGTAAGCTTTCAAACCCAGTGGCAAATGCTTTTGGTGTACCGGACCGAACGAGTATTCCACAACTGGGATACTTTATTATACTATGGTCTAATACGATTTGGGTGGTGGCTGGGACTGCGGTAGCCGTTGTAAGTCAGACCTCCTACATAGACTACGAAAAAATTCCAGGGATTCTGATAATTTACCAATTATATCACATTCCACAGCTTTCAGCTCGCAATGCATTTATAGGGTCGCAGGATTCTATGAGCCAACAGGTTTCCACTGACGTCGAATGTCAAGGAACCAAGTCTTTTGATTATTAATTTGAGATCTACGCCTCCATTCAAAAATTAGACACGATATATCTTTGCTTCTGTAATCTTCTTCCTTTCTGTTTATATTATTTCCCCTTCCCTTGACTACATCCTTTCTTGTTTATATTATTGCGTCTTCCCTGGACTAAAATTTCAACTATAACCTTACTTGCATCGTCCTTTCTATTCTGTTTTCTCCCAATTGTAGAATGAGTGAATTGATAATGGCATCTTAGCACTTTCCACTTTCAAATTCAGAGTTGTTTTGTTATCCATTTTTTACTCGTTGTTGACTCTCACTCAAAACTGACCTGTGGCCAAAAAATATCAAGCCATGTTTCGAAGTTGGGAGGCTCTGTCACTGAGCCTCGCATTCTGGTTTGTTGTGTCACAGATGTGTTCTCCAATTGCTGTGATCTGCATGCAACAGATTCCTCAACACCCATTGCATGAGGTCACCAAGTTATATATAAGGGTAGGGACTGAGTTTTTTTTTCATTCAAGCTGCAGGCCAATGAATTGATTGAGGCGCCCTCAAGAATTCGGACTCAGCATTCCATATTTCTTTTGTCCTGCTCCGCTCGAGTAATGTGATTGACTTGTTGATCAAATTTACATGATTCATGATTCATAAAACAACAGAAAATGCTGTAGAAAAACATGACCGGAGTATGCATAGCTACTACACAAATGTCACGGACCAGAACAAAGAGTTGGAGGTTGAGTGAGATTTCTGACTCAGAAACTAGAAACAGGCCTAGCATCACAAACAAAGAAGAAAAGCAGACATGCTGATCTCAAGACTCATATAAATATGTATCTTCGAAAGAAAGAAGAGCCATGCACAAGATAATTTGGCGATGATAGAAGAATATTTCGCTGGGCTACAGGCATTCAGAAAGACAAGGATGCCGGGCGGCCGCGGTTCAGGGAAGACCTGCGTGGTTGAACGCTTGGCGTGTAAACACCCTGTTCAAATTCCCCCAAAGTGTCACGAAGTTGATCATGGTAATAAGAGTCTCTCCGACTTGGGCCCCCAAAGGACAGTGGTGAGTAACTATCGTAGCTCAGTATTGAGTCTGTGTAGCCCCGGGAAAGCCCGCCTCGGAACATTGAAGGAGACTTATAACCATCACTCAATGAGAATCCTGGAACTGTGGTCTGATTTCTTGTCTGGAAACCATGGGGTGCTGTGACATTATTACCAGGCCGTTGCAAAGTGTCAAAGTGCTGATATATAATCCAAAAAAACAAAGAAGTGCAAGTGTTGATAATTCAAAAATAACAAAGAGTCAGTAATTAATCAGTGTAGGTAATTGGAGTGCCAAGAAGGGCATATTTTATTTTCTTGTTTCTATCAACTTACATCACAAGTGCAATGAATGTCATGACCATGACCTTTCACATTTTGGACAGATTGTGGATTGTTGTAAGTTCCTTGATTCATGCTCTTTTGTTGTTGCTTATTTTGACCACACTCCAGGTTTGTGCCCTGTTGTCCATGGTTTTGGCCATTCATTCCTTGGGTTTGGTGATTCATGCCCTGGGCTTGTTGATTCATTCCTTGGGCTTGGTGATTCATTCCTTTATTCTGACCATTCCCTCCTTGATTTTGAGCCACCATGCCTTGGGTTTGGCCATTTCCCCCATTATTCTGACCATTCATCACTTGGCTTTGGCCATTCATTCCCTGGTTTTGAACATTGCCTCCTTTGTTTTGGGCATTCATTCCTTGGTTCTGGCCATTCATTCCCTGGTTTTGCCCATTCATTCCTTGGTTCTGGCCATTCATTCCCTGATTTTGCCCATTCATTTCTTGGTTCTGGTTCTTTGAAACTTGGTTCTGAATATTTCCTCCTTTATTTTGACCCATCATGCCTTGATTTTGACCATTCCCTCCTTTACCTTGGCCCATCATTCCTTGGTTTTGGCCATTGCCTGATTTGTTTTGACCCACCATACCCTGGTTTTGACCATTGCCCCCATTGCTCTGACCATTATTTCCCTTATTTTGACCATTCCCTCCGCCTTGGTTTTGGCCATTCCCAGCTCCTTGGTTTTGGCCATTCCCAGCTCCTTGCTTTTGGCCATTCCCAGCTCCTTGGTTTTGGCCATTCCCAGCTCCTTGGTTTTGGCCATTCCCTCCTTTGTTTTGACCACTCATTCCTCCTTGGTTTTGACTGTTGCCTCCTTTGTTTTGAGAATTCATCCCTCCTGGGTTTGGGCCATTACCTCCTCCCGGATTCTGACCGTTCCCACCTTTGGATTGAGCTGGATTGCGGCCAGGCATTCCTTTGTTTTGGCCATTAATGCCTCCGTGTTCTTTCATTCCTGGGTGCAGACTACCCTGAGGAGGAAGCATTTGATTTTGATTGTTTCTCGCCGATGGATAAGAGTATAAAGACCCTTCTCCAGCCGAGATTGAATTTCTGCTTCCAGCCTGCTGGAAACCCAGCTGACCTGCAGCTGGTGAGCTCCTGGAAACAGATGATAATAAGAATGAATTGAGCATGAGATACAAAGCCAACTTAAAAGGCTCGGGCAAGATTCATAGAATGGTTCAGTAAGAAAACTCACATGAACGAGCTCATTGATGGTGCGGCAGTGCCCAAGAATCCTCGCTCATGGAGCTGGCGAAGTCTTTGGATTCGTACCATTTCACTCGCATACTTCTTTTGGGCTCTGACTTCGGCCTTGAGCAGCTGATAGGTCCCGCAGCGCTCGTCCAAGCCTGGATACCATGTCTTAGCACCAGTCACCATGTTAGGAAAGAAAAAATAAGAAGGTGTTGGCTTAGAAAGTTGTCAAGCAACACTCAAGGCTAAAGGATCACTGAAAGCTAAAGGGGCACTGAAATCTAAAGGATCACTGAAAGTTAAAGGATCACTGAATCTTCAAGGATAACTAGAGACTACCGGCGAGCCTTTGTGTGGCCAATTGCCGATGAGGAGAAGGTGCTTGCCTAAAAAGTAAGGATCACTGAAAAGATAAAAGAGCTTGTGCAGAAATTTGTAAAAGATCACAGAAAACTACCGCTGGGGTTCGATGTGGGAAGTGATGGGACAAGAAGAAAGTGATTAAAGGGAAAATCGACAGGCTATCACTGAGGTTTTAAATGGTCAGGTGCTTGGTGGCTATCGGAGGGTCCTGAAAATCAGCTGAATTCACCTGGAGATTGTGCGCAGGTGATGAGCTTGATGAAACGCCTCTTGTCTAACTCAAATCAAAATCAAAAACACTTTCCCCATCACGCAAGATGAGATTCTCGGCCGAATCCTCATAGGCTCGATGGCCATGGCCTAGCACCGTATGGGTTGTGAAACTGTTCCAACGCAACTCTAAATTACGTAGGGCTCCGGGCTATGACGACCGGCCACACAACAATGCTACGTATACCTTCTCTTAAAGCTTTCCGTTTCATTTGGAGTCATTTCTGAGATACCGCGTAGCACAGCAAAACTGGCATTGGTGATACGAATGATGGTCGCCTGTAAGCAGCAGCGCATAGGTTCATATCGGAATAGATGGCTCTCCAATCGAGCATGCTCGCTCGCCCTTTCGTGAAAACCCTACAGGGTGTCATCAGCTGAGACCACGTAAACCTGCGTCATTGAGCGCAGAAGCCGTCAACCGAGCCTAATATCTGTTGGTCTGGTCGAAATGACTTTGGTCGAGATAATCACGTTTCAGATCACATAGCCGAAGACCATCGCCTCGATCTCTCAACGTCCTTCGTATTCGTCTCTATTTACGTTGCTGGACTTCCTGTGTTTCCATCTCCCATGCAGGATATTGAACAAGTGAATTTTGCTTAAATCCATATATCTCTACATGTCTTTGGTACCTGCCATCCTGAAAAAGGGTGGGTCAGGTCTTTGGTGCCTACCATCCTGTAAAGGGGTAGGAGGGGGACAGTCCAGAGCTGGAGCATCCTGAAAGTTTCTGTTATTTCTGCTAATTGTGTATTGGGTGTTAGTTAATTGACTCCCAGAAATTGGAGTTCCCACTCCCAAATTTCTGGGATGTTGAGAGGACCGTCTGCATATGGTCCTCAGGACATCCAACCCTTGAATTGGCACCAGTGTTCATTGGGAGTTGGACCTCCAAAGACCTTGACAGGTTTGGGAGTCAATCCCCAGATAAAAATGAAATAAAATAAACCCCCAGCGGTTTTTGGGAGTTGATCCTCTAAAAACCCCAGGGGGGTTGGGAGTTGGTGACGGAGAGCTCTCAGCAGCCAAGAGGGAATTTGGCTGCTGAGACAAACTTAACTAAGTCCCCTCCTGGGTGCAAAAAAGAACAAAGTTTTGGCATGAGAGGTATGCAAAAATGGTTCATTTTGCTTGGAAATTATATCTCTGCAAAATCTTATCCATAATTATTCATCAATAAGATAGCCAAGAAGCTAGTCAACATCTTCAGTTTTTGTTTGTATCTTTTGAGGTTCTTGATGCTGTTGAAAAACCAAACCAAAGGGTTTGCTAGTTTTTTCCCACCCAGAGACATGCATTTGAAAAATCCAAAATTCATGATCTTTGGATGCCCATTGTGTGTAAGGATGATAATCGGGCGGGCTGGCCCGAGGGCCTGAACATTGCCGGGCGGGTCGGGCCGGGTTGCATTCAAGAAATTGACAGCCCGACCCGAACCCGTTTACAAATTGGGCTGCCCACGGGGGCCAATATAGAGACGGGCTTCCGGGCTCTTAGCGGGCTGCCCGCGGGCTTGGTCACTAAGAATTTGAGATTCCAGTGCTAGCACTCGCGGCGGCGGGATCGCAGATGGAGTAGGAACTGGGGTTGGTTCAGACCTCGGGATAAGCTAAGCCCTGGGGGGGTCCTGGGTGCTTGGTCAGGTCCACTTTGGACCTGACCCAGCGCCCAGGAGTCAGGACCCCCCCCCCACTACTACACCGGGCCAACGGGGCAGCCCGAGGAGAACTCGATCTTTCATCTGGATCATCTCCGGGCCCGGGCCTAGTAAAAAATCCCATAAAAAGCTTGGCCCGAGACCGGTCCCAAACCCAGTCGGGTCGCGGGCAGCCCGCTGGAAACCCCGTCCCCATATACCATCATTAAATGTGTGGGAGGAAGGAGGGAAATA